TATAGACCAAGGAGAACCAGAGAAAGGAAGCAGAAGTTTGTTTAAGTTGCACTGTGGATGGCAATCTGAGCATTCTCAACTTGGTTACTGTAGAAAAAGGAGAAAAGATATCCCTGGACTGACTGATGCTATAGTACCTAGTGTCTGGGTAGCAGAATCTGTAAACTTTTTCATTCTATCTAAAAAAGATCATATTCGCCAATATGTTGTGAGAAAGCCCTTAAACAAAGAAGGTAAGAAACCTAGGACCAAAGCATCCAGGATTCAGCATCTTATAATTCCACATGTCCTACAACATAAAACACCAGCATATTGCTCTGAATAAATAGTGTACTAAGAAAAATAAGGAAGAGGCTGCCAAATATGTTAAACTTTGGCCAAGAAAATGAAGAAGGCCAAAGAAAAGCGCAAGGAACAGATTGCCAAGAGACACTGTCTTCTCTGTCACTTTCTACTTGTAAGTTTGAATCCAATCAAAAATAAGATTTTTTGAATAATAAATGAGATCATATCTCAACAAAAAAAGGAAAATAATGTGCTGGCAAGGATGTGGAGAAATTGACACATTTATGCACTTTAAATATACAATGGTGCAGCTGTTGTGAAAAAAAGTCTGGCAGTTCTTTGAAAAATTGAATATAGAATTACCATAGGACCTAGCAATTCTACTCGTATATATATGCAGTAGGATTAAAAACAGAAACTTGTACACCAATAGCAGCCAAAAGACAGAAACAACCCAAGTGTCAGATGACACTTCAGCAGAGGAACAGATAAACAAAACATGATATATACACACAATGGTCTATTATTCAGACATAAAAATGAAATTTTGATGTATGCTTACAATATGGATGAATCTTGAAAAATTACGCTAATTGAAATAAGACAGATAAAAGAAGACACATATTGTGTAATCCCCCATATATGAGATACATTGAGTAGGGAAATTCATGGAGACAGAAAGTAGAATAGAGGTTAACACGAGTTGGGAGGCAAAAATGGGAATTACTGCTTAATGGGTATAAAGCTGTTGAGGTGATGAAAAAGTTCTGAAAATAGTGGTGGCAGTTACATGATACTGTGAATATATTTAATGTCACTTATCCCTACACTTAAAATGGTAAATTTTACCACAATAAAATTTTTTTTTTTTTT